CTCTCTTTACAGGAAGTGTTTATGGAAGGCTGTGCAAGTCACATGCAGGGAGGTGTGACTAGGGTTCATAAACAAAGGGATTTAACTCGTAAATGGCAGAGGATTGAGCAGTGAGGCTGCAGGGGCATGTTCTATACACCAAAACTGCTTTATTAAGCTAAAGTTGTTCAGGTGACTATAGTGTCCCTTTAAAAATAAAAGTGTATTAAACAGACAAGTCAAGATATGTAAATGTGAAAACATTCACTCAGTGTGAATTCAAATTGGATTCAAAGTGAATTTCAAATGTAAATTTAGTTGGTTGGAGACATTCAGATAAACTATAAACAGGTAGTGATATCCTTACTATATGTCTCAAAGGGTGTTACTTTATAGCTCAGAACACTGCGTACTGTTAGTGTAGCATTACATGCGATTATTTTGTTGAGCTCCATAAATCCATGTAGCCATTTGCAACAGGGGTGCCTAAAAGGTAGATCCCCAGATGTATTAAAACTACAATGTCCATGATGCTTTGTCATTCTGAAAGCATTTTAATGGCATGCAAAACATCATGGAAGTTGTAGTTCTACACCATCTGGGGATCTACCTATTGGGAACCCCTGATCTACCACATATTAATAAGTAAGTTAAACCTTTGTAATATATGTTCCTATTGCAAAAATATTTAATTGACCAGTCCATGGAAGTGTGCCCTCAAATATTAACACTTGCTAATCCATGCAATTGTTGTGGAACTTTTCCTAGCTCTGCTGTGTGAAAACATTATTATTATTATTATAGAAAATTCTATTTGTAAAACTGAAAGAAATAGTTGAATTCTTTTATCACTGGGCTAATAATATCTTCTATTCAAGTAAAAATTCCATTGGCAGAAAGGTGATCAAATTGTTAGCTGAATTTGAACGAAGACATTTGATTCTTCCATGTGTATGCTGTAGAAATCACTGTGCTTATAGTGTTCATTCCTTTCATGTAATGGTTAGAAAGGCAATAAAAAGGACGAGACATTCCCAGTGCTATATGTGAATAGCTTGTTACATCGCAGTATTTTTAATCATAAGCACCATATAAATTGCTGAAGTGTTTAATGGAGGAAGATAAGATAAGAAATGCAACCCTCCACCCACACTGAACGGGTAACTCCTACAATAAACATAAAGAACTCTGCAAATTGCCATTAAATAATCAAACTCAATGCCATGGCAAAACACAAACATAACATGCCACTCACCGCAATGGTAAAACACACTAACCATGCTGCAAAACACGCACTAACCATTCCACTCACCGCCATGTTATAACACGCACTAACCATGCCACTCACCGCCATGTTATAACACTCACTAACCATGCCACTCACCGCCATGTTAAAACACGCACTAACCAGGCCACTCACCGCCATGTTATAACACACTCTAACCATGCCACTCACCGCCATGTTATAACACGCACTAACCATGCCACTCACCGCCATGTTATAACACTCACTAACCATGCCACTCACCGCCATGTTATAACACTCACTAACCATGCCACTCACCGCCATGTTATAACACTCACTAACCATGCCACTCACCGCCATGTTATAACACTCACTAACCATGCCACTCACCGCCATGTTATAACACTCACTAACCATGCCACTCACCGCCATGTTATAACACACACTAACCATGCCACTCACCGCCATGTTATAACACTCACTAACCATGCCACTCACCGCCATGTTATAACACACACTAACCATGCCACTCACCGCCATGTTATAACACCACTAACCATGCCACTCACCGCCATGTTATAACACTCACTAACCATGCCACTCACCGCCATGTTATACACTCACATTCACTGCCACTCACCGCCATGTTATAACACACTCTAACCATGCCACTCACCGCCATGTTATAACACTCACTAACCATGCCACTCACCGCCATGTTATAACACTCACTAACCATGCCACTCACCGCCATGTTATAACACTCACTAACCATGCCACTCACCGCCATGTTATAACACTCACTAACCATGCCACTCACCGCCATGTTATAACACACACTAACCATGCCACTCACCGCCATGTTATAACACACACTAACCATGCCACTCACCGCCATGTTATAACACACACTAACCATGCCACTCACCGCCATGTTATAACACACACTAACCATGCCACTCACCGCCATGTTATAACACACACTAACCATGCCACTCACCGCCATGTTATAACACACACTAACCATGCCACTCACCGCCATGTTATAACACACACTAACCATGCCACTCACCGCCATGTTATAACACGCACTAACCATGCCACTCACCGCCATGTTAAAACACGCACTAACCAGGCCACTCACCGCCATGTTATAACACACTCTAACCATGCCACTCACCGCCATGTTATAACACTCACTAACCATGCCACTCACCGCCATGTTATAACACTCACTAACCATGCCACTCACCGCCATGTTATAACACTCACTAACCATGCCACTCACCGCCATGTTATAACACTCACTAACCATGCCACTCACCGCCATGTTATAACACACACTAACCATGCCACTCACCGCCATGTTATAACACTCACTAACCATGCCACTCACCGCCATGTTATAACACTCACTAACCATGCAACTCACCGCCATGTTATAACACACACTAACCATGCCACTCACCGCCATGTTATAACACACACTAACCATGCAACTCACCGCCATGTTATAACACAAACTAGAAAGACTTGGAGACACTAGGGAACTGTCTCCAAAATGCACAGCTCTGGGGCCATGCATAGAGTACTGAACCCTCAGTGGGCTGACCTGAATAATTAACAAGAAGCCTGGAGTGCATGGATACCAGACTGATCTGTCCCTTTGCGCAGCATTAATGATGTAACTCGTGTCGCTGTCCTGTCCCCTTTCACCCTGCCCACCGATGTACTGATTCAGGGGTTGGGGATGTTGGAATATTGTCAGCAAGACTCACCTTAATATAGATGTCAGGTTAAGACCGTGAAACATGTATAACATTACATATTAACTATCCAAACATTTCCATTCATCAAGGTACCTTGAATTTTTACCTTTCTTGTGTTTTTCTCTCCTACACAAATCGTTTGATTCTAGTCCTTACACGGTAAGATATGGTGGCATTGGAAGCCAATAACATTTAGGAAAGTTTAATCAAATTATTGAATTAGTTATTTTTTTGTAACTGTGGCCTGAATTTAAATTAAAAGCCCAATGGTAGCAAATTGAAAGCCAATGGCAGAATTTAGGCTGAAATAGCTTAGCTGTGCCTATAGAGCAGTTGATAACATTTTCCAAATCTATTTTGGCCCAAGTTTTGCTTGACATTTGCACAGTCGTTATTCAGCATGTGCTACCTTACACTTAAATAAGACACTGACACCGATAATTCTGTTGGAGTACAAAGTCCACAGCTTTATTAATTAATTATAATAAATTAACATAATTTAGGGTCATTGTCCTACTAGACATTATGTTACTATACCCCCACACAGTACCCCTGACAATGACCCTACCAGTTGAACAATAAATAACAACAAAAAACATATAACTTGAAACACACGGCCTACCAAAGAGGCCCCATATCATCCGGTTAACTGTAGGCGTATACCTCGGACACCCCTACAGCCCCAGGTTCGTAGCCACCGAAGAGCTAGAACCAACCAATCCTTAACTCCATCCGGCCTAAACCTTGGCCTGTCCAGTTCAAATTCCACAAAAAATTCCAATATTTACAACGCCCTGTTCCGCCGCTGTGACCAAACGTAAGTGCTAAAATCTAGGGAGGGTGGGTGGGACAATCTACAGGTAAGAGAGGCTCCGGTTAAAATGGCCCCTATTCTAACATGGCTGCTCCCTATACTCCTATTCTCCACCCCCCAAACTCCACTCCCTAAACCCGGCCCACACACCTAAGCCCATGCCAACTCCCTGGCTCTGTCAAGGCCCACTCCCCTCACTGCGTTGCTCCATGGGCTTCAAAATTAATTCACTAAACAGCAAATTGTAATGAATTAAAAATTGAAGAACAAAGTCTCTGTAGAATTCTCAGATATCACCATGGCAAAGTCATATGTCCTCCTGGGCATCAATACTAGCTTTGTGCTGGGGATCAGAGGTCACCTTTTTTTAGGGATGTAAATTGAATTTTTGTAGCTCAACAAATATTAATGCAACTAATTTCTTCAAATGTTTCATAAACCTTAAATAAAATGATTATAAATTTCAATAGATCTGGACTTCAGTCACTAATGGCTAATCTTTTTCTATATATTGATAATATTTTATAACACTGAGTGATGTGTATGCTGTCTTTACATATAATAAATGGAGAATAATTAATAAAAGGACCGGTCTGGATTGAAGATAAGGAATGGAATTCTTATCCAAGCATTTATTTTAATTTGGATTCCTTAAGAATGAAATTATAATTGTATTATTTTTACTATATTGGATATATGTGGGTATCCGATACTATGTAGACAAAATAAAATCTAAAATTCTTTAAGAAGATTGGTGTCTTCATTTAACGGTTTCTGATCATTTTAAGTCAATATGTCTGCGGCTTATTCCTTCACGTATCATGTGCTTAATAGATTTACAAGTCTGCATATAGCCACAGTTATTTAAAATTCATTGTACAGGGTTTTCCAGTGCTACTGTGAGCGCTAATACAACCTTTAACAGTCTGTTACCTTTTTAATGCGGACAGTCAAAGTGCAGCTGAATTCTATAGTTACTATACATTTCTTATATTGAAAAACGTGCTAAAACTGTAAGTGTGCACGGTGAGAAAGGGCATTTATTTCAGATAGGCTTTAGGAAGCATGCATGTAAACAGTCTGGTTCCTTGGAGAATTCCTTCAATCCACAAAATGCATGGAGCTTTCCTGAGAGTCTGCAGAACAACTTCAACACAGTTGGGATATATGGGAAAATTGCATTAAACCTATTGTTTATAATTGACTTTCTTCCAAGTTCCCCTTCACTTCCCTTCCCCGAATGGCATGTTTTGCTATTCATTATTTTTGCTATAAAAACTTTTAAAAACTTTAATAAAAATAATTTGAAAAGAAAGCCTGCAGAACACATTTCAACCAGACATGTTTGTAAAAAAAAAGGTCCCAAAACAATTGTAACGATGTAAAGTAAAAATCCCAAATCATTTGTAAATACCTTATACCCGCATCATCAATAGTTACATAGTAATCTAGGTCAAAAAAAAGATTCGAGTCAATCAAGGTCAACCTTTAACTCCTTAAGGACCAAACTTCTGGAATAAAAGGGAATCATGACATGTCACACATGTCATGTGTCCTTAAGGGGTTAAAATATCTTTTATTTATTTATTTTTAATTCTTAATTTTTGCTGTGCTTAAAGGACCACTATAGGCACCCAGACACTTCAGCTCAATGAAGTGGTCTGGGTGCCAGGTCCCTCTAGTGTTATCCCTACAGCTGTAAACAGCAGTTTCAGAGAAACTGCTATGTTACACTTAGGGTTAATCCAGCCTCTAGCCACTATAGGTTCTTCCGCGATTCTCACTGTGAAAATCACAACGCCACGACAGCAGGAGAAAACAATTCAGCAACAATTATTGTCAAGGCAGAGAAAACAGCACATTTTTAGATGTTAGAGAAAACTATCTGTAATAGAGTAACCAGGTTAGATAATCATGAGTAAAACAAAGATATATTACACAGAGCAGGCCTGCAAACAAAACATACATTTACGTGTCTGAGTAATTAACTCAGAAGGCTTCCACAGTGGTAAGAGATAAAAAGAAAGGAGCTGTGTGAGGCGTATATAAGAGAAACACACTGATAGTAGGGAACAAGATAGTGGGTGAAACCACAGAACAGAAAGTATCTCCTGCTAGTTAGACATAGATGGAAAGGTGGGTGACCATGCACTGTGCACCATCCAGTCCATGAGTCGAGTCATCCTATGGCCTGCATGTATATCATCACATACCATTCCTTTAACACTTTGCTTCAACTCAGATTAGATATATAAACATATTCCCCCCCCTCCCCCCCACCCACCACTCCACATTTTCTATTTTTTCTACCCCTAAATAATGCATATCCATTTAAATTAACAGCCCAATCAAGGGTTTCATTTTACTAATGATCCAATACTGTTCCTTGTTTACCAGTACCCAAGCTCCCCCATTTGGTTACACTATCTTCTTCACTAGCAATTACTCATTGAAAGTTACCATATCTCTGTACTTTATTTGAAAAATTGCACTCTCTTCTGATTGTACCACTCCTCCTGTCTCCACTTTACTGGACTTCACATTAATTCCATCTCCTTTCTATACTAATTAACAGTGAATCTCCTCCTAGCTTTAATAAAAAAAAACAAAAAACAGCTATATATTTTTTTTTATATATATAAAAAATCCTAACGTGTACGAGTGCTTATTACAAGAAATGGTATATATATATATATATGTGAATATTTGATTTTACATTTTTCAGCTGCTATCACACTGTGATGTGTTATCTTCCCATACTTTACTGAGAGGGTAGTGGATGCATGGAATAGCCTTCCAGCTGAAGTGGTAGAGGTTAACACAGTAAAGGAGTTTAAGCATGCGTGGGATAGGCATAAGGCTATCCTAACTATAAGATAAGACTAGGGAGTAATGAGAGTATTTAGAAAATTGGGCAGACTAGATGGGAGGAATGGTTCTTATCTGCCGTCACATTCTATGTTTTTATACACATCCCAACAAAGAAAACGTAAACCAAAAAACAGTGTAGCACTTATTACCGATAGAAAAGTGTGAAATAAGTAGAAACAACAGGTTACCTTGAGATATCTTTATTAACCTCAATGGGAGAGTCTTTTGGGAAAAAAGATCTTAGTACATTTAAATAAACAAAAAATGGATACAATAGTGGATAACTGTGTGGAAACTGAGACAACTGAACACTCACACTTTCATGAGCTAAAACACTTAGCTCTAATGGAGGCAGCGTATACACTATTGTATCCATTTTTTGTTCATTTAAAGGTACTAAGATCTTTTTTTTTGAAAAAATTTTTTTTCATTCTTTATTTTTGTCGTGCAAAGAATTGGTACAATAAACATGCGGTGCCACAATAGCATAACCGTTACATACATAACAAGACATAGGTATGGCATACATATTACATGCACATAATTTGTGTTGTTGGTTGGTATCTTGCTGTCCAGGCCGTATGCGAGACTTAGTGTGTGCCTCGAGTGGGATACATCACTTGTTCCCTTGTGGAGATGGTAGTTATCTGAGCCGCTGCGGACTCCACTTCGTAGTGTAGGCTGCTCATCTGGGGTGGGCTGGGCTAAGGTGTCAGCGCTGCGTGTACTATGGGTCTGCGGCTAGGGTGCATGTTGTGGGTATCTGCACTGTTCAGGTGGTTAGTTGTTTAACCTGGCCTGTACCTAGCTGTTAGGTGTGAGTGTTACGCGCCCCTCCGCTGCCTCCTAGTTTGTCCTCCTGTGGTCATCTAGAGCCGACGGGGAAAGGATTTCAATGCATGTCCTAGTGCATGTTCTAAAGATTAAGAGAGCAGAGAAGTATCAGTG